TTTTTTTTTTTCTGGGATCTTCGAAAGGACCCTTTATTCACCGAGCTTTTATATAGTGCAGGAAGACATAACTGCAGCTGCAGGGAAACTGGCCGAGTGCCAGAAAACGATTTCATCGTTGGGGAAACAACTTCAGTCTCTTGCAACACTTGAAGATTTCTTCATCGATACAGCGAGCATACCTACTTGTTCTCCTGCAGTTTCCGACAATCGTGCAAACGGTTCAGAGAGCTGGACAGTACACAAGAACGAGGCATTTTCCAGGAGAAATCCTACCGAGTCAGATCTTACCGAGTCAGTGGAACCCGCTAAGGAGAGGTCTACCAGTCTGAGGACCAGCAGTTCTTCATCTTCTCCATCAGCTTCAATGGCTGTTGTGCCATCGAACCAAGGGAGTTCTGAGAAGAATCGGAATGGGTTTGCTAAGTTTTTCACTCGAAGTAAGAATGGGATTCATCTGGAGATATGACATAACCCAACTGATACTTCAGCGAGTTTTCAAGATTTCTAGGTTCTTGAGTAGTAGTAATTGGAAAACAACTGTCCTGCAAATATTTTTTACGATAGGGTTGCTTTGGATATTCTCTTTTAGGTTCAGCTTGCTTGTTTGACACTCCCATAATCCAGTTCTTGAGCAGCTTTACACTCTTACTCTCGGCGACAATTCGGATTCCTGAACCTCAAAACTTGAATTTTCAGGATTGACAAACACTGTGTATACAGCAACAGATTCGAATGTGTTACCAAACCTGAAGAAATGAAATGAAAAGTCTCCTTATTGCAAGCTGAAACAGAAACAGAAACACATACAATGTCTGAACATTACAAAAAATGGATGTTCTCAGAGGAGACCAAAAAGGAGGAGAAAGCAGAAAAAAATATCCTTCTAAGTCTGATAAAGGCTTCCAAGACTCTCTCTGTATATTTATAGCTGAGCCACCAAAAACAAAAAAACAAAAAAACAAAAATCTCCTGACTTCCAGGTCTCTGCTCTCTCTCCTCTTCTCCAAGCACACATACAGGAACCAAGAACTTGTAACATTGAGCACAATGAATCATATATGATTTATATGAAAATAAAAAAGCGTCCCCATTTGAAGATTCCCGGCGGAAGAGTATGAACAAAGGAAGATGATTTGTTCTTCCTTTTTTTCCCCTTGCTATGCTCTTTCACTTCACTCTACTAAAGATTTTAAAAGACAAGAAACAGAGGAGAGGGAGATCAGAGATCTGTTTCAGTTTTGGGTGTGTCAGTTCATCTTGAGCTGGATTTGGCGGTGGACTTGAACGAGAAACTCCACGTACGAGGAGCCACTTGCTGTTCTGTCCTCGACCATGTATGTTAAGAACAGCATTCCTGACAGTACAGAAACAGAATGCACGAAGATTCAATATCACAACAATAATAATAGGCATTGAATCAATACAATGTTTCTGTGAGGACTAAAGTTATTTAATTTGACATTAGGATTATAGTCTATGCTAGTGGAGATGAGCCATCAAAAGACTAATGAATCGATACAAGGTTTACTGTTTTTGCCCTAGAGTGGTTACAATATGGAAATGTTGCCTTGGATAGTACCGGAGATGGTACAAACCACATTAAACTATAGAACACCCAGCTAACTACATCACGCCATAACTAAACTTTGTACATTAAACTTTTCATGAATCACTTACCTGATGGATCACCATTCTTGCATAATTTCAGGCTGCACCGAGAGAACAAAGAGGAAATTAAGAAAGAGAAAACATCAAGTGAGGAGAAAAATAGAATAAGAAACAAAGTTTCATTTAAATACCGTAGGTATGAACATCTTTGTCTCCTTATTTCATTCACCACATCATTGAACTTCTTCGATAATGGATTGTCGTATAGTTGCAGCACATACTGTGAACAGAAAAGGGCATGATGTGAAATGAAAAAGCAAAACAGGTCCTGTTTAACAGGTTTTCCTGTGTTAAAAAAATATAAATATATTTCCCTGCTTCACAATTCTGATAGTATGATGAGTAAATATAAGCCCACAATCATTTCCTCCATGATTAGAGTTGCTGTGGGGGAGAGAGAAAGAGGTGGAGCAAATTGTAACTTTAAGGTTTCACAAGATGTTTCTTTAAATGACAAATCAAGAAAATGGCCCTAACTCTAGAGAACTATAAACCAACAATCACTTCATGCAAAAGGATCCCAAATTCGAATAGAAAAACACACTTTTGTGCGTCTTATTCCTCAGAGAAAAATTCATAAGCTTACCGAGTAGGAAATCAGAATTACCTGGCTAGGAATTTCAGCAACTGAGGGAACACCAAAGAGCTTCTGCAGTATATCTGAGTTTACCGAGTCTCCAACATATATTAAACCATCTTCACCGTTCTCAAGGAAATAGACTCCCTCATTGCTAATGTGTTCACTTGACAATGGAATTGGAGGAGGAAGGACAGATCCTTCATTATCCTAAGAGATAAAACAACAATCATCAGAACTGTCCAAAGCATATATAAGGACTTGAAAGACATCTGACAGTTAAAATGACTCCATACCTTAGCATCAAGATCATGAACAGCAATCATTCTGGGGTAAACCAGTGGAATTGCCAGAGGAGTTGAGAGGGAAGACACATAGTTGATCCAGAATGAGCGATCATCAATTCTCCCGTCAGTTCGTAACCCCACACTTTTGGTTAATGCTGAAAGAAACCCCGAATAGAAGGAAAATAGAATCGGATCACAAAATACTTCCTTACAACTCCTAAGCTGTAACATGAAAATGGTATAGTTTCATCCCACTTGCACAGTAAATGTAACCCGAAATACCTAGAGCATATAAAGGCAAAAGCTTGAGCGCCTCAGGAAGAATAAGTTGTCCAGATGATGTGACTGTGGCACAGAATTTACGGTAGGAATAAAGCGTGTTGACGCAGGCATTAATCACCTGGTCCTTTACTAATGGAAGTGCCTTTGAAGGGATTTCACCAGCAGCTGCATAAAGATCACAAGTAGTAGATATATCAAATGCTAACTTTATGTAAATCTTATAATAGAAAATATTATATAACATAGGAGCATATTAACGTGTACATTGTTAGCAGTAAAATCAATGAAAGGAAATAGCTGCACACCTTGCTTTAGCATACAGGCAAATTGAGAATCTAGGTCAGCTGAGCGGAATAGGTTACTAAGCATGTTTGTACAAGGGAGGGATAAAGTAGTGACTCTGATTCTTCTTTCTCCATATATGGTGGTGTAAAGAAGGGCGCACTAGAAACAACAGAAAAAAATATAAGCGTTTTTTTTACCCAATTGAGAATCGATACAAACAGTTAACAAAAACTGGGTCGACTGAAAATAACTTCATATGGTAGATTGATATGATATGACCAATAAAATAAATATACCTGGAAAGCACATTCAGTACCATCTTGAAGTTTGTCGTCGTGCTTTAACGTCACCATTATAGCTTTGTCACAATCAATCTGCACCGCACGCAGTGTTTGTTAAAACTGAAATAACTTTATACCATATTGCTTGTGGCAAAGGGATTCTGTGTTTCCCTACCAACTAAATAGTGCTATTCAATGACAATGCAAATAGTTTAACTTTTTACTACTATCAATAGAAGAAATCCACAGCAACCAGCACAACTCACAGAAAAACACGTTACTGAAAAACAAAAGAGAAAGTTTTCCAGAAAAGAGTGCACCCACCGCAGGTAGGTCGATGTCAGTTGGAATGCGTTTGCAGAAGTTCCCTGAGTAATCTTGCACTTGAATACCCTAAAAGTAACAGTGGTATTTAGCACACTAATCTAAGCTGAATTTTACAGAGTAATGATGCGTGAACAATCAGTTCTGCCGAAAACCATTACCTGGCTGCATCTGACACGCATGACAGCCTCAAAACCCTGTGGCCTAGTGATATTCCATCTAAGATCGTTGTAAAGCTTGGGAGGATCAGAGAGAGCTGAAAATGGGTAATAGTAATAAACCTGGAAGGGAGAAAATTTTAGAATGAAATATACGCATTTTAAAAATATCCTAGACAGAGAATATATAAAACGTAGATGGTAAAACAATCCTGAGAAAGATGCATCGAGTAGGCAAAAATTTCATGGACCATCTTTCGTTATGCTTAAAATGTGCAAGGGTAAAACTAAAGATGGGTCCCGTGACCAAATTAAAAGCAGGGGCTTCTAGAAATACACAGACAGTGAATTAACACTGTTTTAGCAAGAAATGAGTCGCTATATGAAATAGAATTTATCGATCAGAATTAATGGAAACAAGGATTCAATTCTGATAGGTACCTGTCCTCCAGTAGTCCTCGGGATGACAGAAATTGATGCAATGTCAATGTAGGTCTGAGTTGTAATAAATATATCTACACAGACCTGAGGTATAATGTAACACATTAGATTCACAAGTGAAAGAAGCTGATACACCGTAGACTACTGATAAATATGAAGGAAAGCAATCTGATAAATTTCAAATATCAAGCTGTTTGATCTACCTGGTATTCAGCAAATTCAATAGCCATGGTCTTTAGAGTCTTGTCTGCTGGTTGTAGTAATTTATGGGCTTCCTGAAATCAAATTGAAGGAGGAATTCGCTTTTAGCAACCAAATATATCCACACCTGAACCTAAAGCTGATCAAGTCCTAATATGAAACAATTAAAGAGAGACGGAAGATAGAAAAAAATGTAGATCACAGGGAAATGTTGACAGAGATTAAAATGCATTAGTGGAAACAAGAAAGTGTGGTCTTACCTTTTCACCTGCAGAGACATTGGCTCTCCCTTCAGCCTCTCTAGAAGAAAGCGCTCCCAAACCAACTGAAGGCAAAACTGTCCACAAAATGGTTAAACAAATAGTTCAGTTATGTAGTAGGAGAAAAAAAAGAGAGCATGCTTAGGATGCACACATGGCTTTAAATCGATTTGGCAGACAAGCACCTGACTGAAACACCATTAGTTTTCCTCCAGTGCTCTTCATCGCCAAGAAAGCAGCCTAGGAGAAAGGATTGGACAAGAATCAATAACATACGGAATAGTACAACTAATCTTTCATCATTTTGCCAGAAACTCATTTATCACATGGGAGCTGATAAGCACAGAGTGGGCACATAAAAGCAAGGTCATCATCAACAGTATCCAACTTCTATTATTGATCATTTGTGCAGAGCACATACCTTAACTGCTGCACCAAAAGCTGATTCAGGAGCCTTACTCTCCTGAAACATGGTTGGGATGCTTTCCAACAAAAGCTCTAAATGCTGACGACACTGGAATCCCAAAGGAATAAAGAAACGTTAACAATGAGAAAGAAAATGGGTTAGCCAAAATCAGTCAAGTAACCAGCTGATACTATAATTGGAAAAATAATCAACATAGAAATAAATTAAATAAGAAAATAATTGGCCCACAGCTAACCTCGGAAAGCTGAACAACAACATCAGTTTCTAGGGGTGTGTAAACATCTTGCACATCAGGAACAATGAGCATCAGCGGCTGCATACAAGCAACAGCTATCAGTTACACAATATCAAGCCTCCCGAGAAAGAAACAGCGCGCATCACCCATGGCCAACCCTCAACATTGAACAATTTCAATAATAAAAAGTGTTTGATGAAATGGTTTCTTAGGACTAATACA